AGTCGAGCTCGGCAGCCAAATACTCGGCTCGACTCGACTCGATTAACAGCTCTATTTGCTGCCTACTTCTTTCCTTTGTTTTTTCCCCTCTCCAGTTTAGTGTTTCCCCCTTGCGCTGCATGTGGGTTTTTAATGCCCCTAAGCCACAGTTTATTTCGATTTGGCCATGATCTAAGGCTAATTGGAAAAAAAAAAAAGGGGATAATTGCACTCACCTCCTCTGAGGTTTCTAAAATAGCATTTACCTCCCCCGACATGAATTTGGGCCTCTAGTTGACAAAAGATAGGGTGAATTTACTTCTATACCCTAAGAGTTTGAGGTTGTTTGTAAACAAATTTGGAGCAAAAAAAATTAGGGCAATAAACAAGTTTACGATAACTAATTAAACAAGTTAATGGTTATTTCTTATTTGATTAGGCACTTTAAGTGCACTTATATAATAGCATCACAAAATAGCGCTAATTGATACTCCAACATGGCATCATTTTGTGATTGACAGTATTTGAAAGGATAATCCAAATGTATATAATTTGCATAGAAGAGAAGCAGAAGCAAAAGGAAAGAAACCTCCAAACAAGGCCTCATAAGAAAATATGTTCTGGTTGTTTTGGTCGAGTTCACTTCATCTTAAGCATTCATGAAACAAAAAAAGAAAGAAAGCAAAAAATCAATGCCAATTTTGAGGATTTTTCTGTTAAAAATTTGCGATAATCAAAAGACAATAGTTAAGCAATCCTTTGTAATCTTAACATAATACACATAGTTTCTATGCACACGAATGAATCAGAGTTTTTTGAAATTGGTTGTACATATTATATGCTTTAGAACCTTAGATTTCTGAACGTATGTTCATTAAATTTTCTTGTTGTTACTACTATACTTGTTCTCTTTGCATTTATATGAGTTTCACTAATTGTTTCCAACTTTTGATTTTATTCATTCTTTTACTAATTCAACCTTACAAGAGGTAAAAGGGGTACAAATGGAACAAAATTATTATCTCTTTTCTCAAAAGACTTTTTTAATGGCACTTTTTGTAACATGAGCTAAATATGCTATCAAAATCTTAAGTTCATGGGAGCTAAGTGCTATTTTTGAAAGTTTAGGGGATGTGAGTGCAACTATTAGAAATTTCAGGAGAGGTTTCTGCAATTATCCCAAAAAAAAAAAAACGCATGATGAGCCACAATTTGTTCTTTTTGCCATGGCTCGAGCGTAATAAATATATAAAAAAAGGACATGGTGCCTAGTTTTGGACTGATATTATATCCTTTTTAGCCATTAGGAAAATATAAATTTAGATTAACATTTTAGTATGAGTTCTGCTCCAAATTTCGTCTACATTCCTCACCAAAAAAAATCGGCTCAAAATTTTGTCTACACTCTTGGCCAAAAAAAAAAAAAGTAAAGGGTCTCTTGAGTGGCCACTTATATAACACTTTTTGTACAAATTCAAAAAAAAAACATTTAGTATAATTTTGTTCCAAATTCGATTGAATATTTTAATATCAATTTTGTTCGAAATTCTTCTACATCACTGGAAAAGAAAAAGAGGTATGGTAAGCTTTGTCAACATTCTTGACCAAAAATAAATAAATAAATAAAGGGCCCATTTAGTGTCCACTTATATAACACTTTTTGCAGGAATTCATTGCTACTATTTGTATGCATCATTTAATTACTTGTGTGAAAAACCAAATTTAGTATAATTTTGTTGCAAATTCAATTGAATATTTTAATACCAAATTTGTTCGAAATTTTTCTATATTGCTGAAAAAGAAAATGAAGTATGGTGAGTTTTAATTACTTGCGTACATTTTAAATAGTCAAAAAGTAATAATAGCAATAGATGATTAGATGAACAACATATAAACTCTTGCTAAAAAAAAACGGAGAGCTTTAATTACTTGTGTACATTTTAAATAGAAAAAAATAATAGCAACAGAGATGATTAAGCAAAATTTATTATTTCCTGCCTGTTTTTCTTAGTTTTTCCCCTTCTTAAATGGCTTTTTTTCCTAACTATTACGTTGTATTAATAAACATAGCATAATGAAAATTTGCAAATAAATTTTGCTCAAAATTTCTCTATATTAGTGAAAATGCTTGATATTAATGAACGTAATCTAATAACCTAAAAAAAAATCAAGATGCATTTTGCTCCAAATTCCTCTATATTAGCGGAAAAAAAATAGAAGCCTCCTTGATTGGACACGAATTTAATGCTCTTTGGATACATTAACTATTACTATTTTTATGCACCATTTATTTATTTCTTTGTTGCTAAAAAATAATTATGCTAATATTTTTTTTGTGTTAAATGCGCTGAGCTCCAATTGTTTCAATGATATTAGATAACAGAAAATGTTTAATAGCCGGAAATGACTACATAGAGACAATGGAAGAACGACTTTATTTTTTTTCCTGCTTGCTCCTTTGAAAAGCTATTTGCTTGATGAATTGTGTCCTAATCACTCCTTTTTGTTTTACTTTGATAGTCTTTTTTTTTTTTTTGCACATAGTTTAATAAAAGATGGTTAACTTTGTTAAAAGAGTAAATCTAAGCTACTATTTTCTTAAAATGTCGTTAAACTATTTCCAGAAGCATAACTAATCACTATATCTTTAGATTAATTACAATAACAATAAGTTAGTTACCAAACGCGAGTATATGCATTCATAGAGTAAGTTAGCGAGTGTTCTGGCAGACACATTAATTAGAAGGAGAGACCCGCAAGTATTTTTGTTGCTTTCCTTCTGTCCATGCCGCAGCATCCGTATGATTGATTTTGTTAGGTTGAACTTCAAATTTGGAGCTCAAGCTGTTGAAATTCATTGTTTTGAGCCATTCGCACAAGTTCGTTCTATCTAAGAGGCACAGGAGCCAGCACTGAAAAGAATACTAACAAAATACTAATCTTTATGGGGCAAAATACACAATAGGAGGAATATGTCATCTTGATTGTCCTTCCACGTACATCACGGAATATTAAGAGGATGCCTCCTCAATTCACGAAAAGCTGGAAAATTGGTTAGCCAGTTTCAAGGAGATAGATTGGTATAATCGCGGATTGTTTTAGTAACCAGAAAATGGTGAGAAAGATTCAATCAAAAATTGAAGAAGAATATTTCAAATGGTCGGAGATTTGACGTTTTAGCTTTGTTTGTAAATCATTAATGTTGTTTATCTCTTCCAGGGCTCATTGGCAATCAGCAATACGTGTTACCAGCATTCGAATAGTACAGAAGTCAAAAAGGATTTAAAAAAAAAAAAAAAAAAACGCACGCCTTCTCAGATGATATTAGACCATTGGAAAATGGTTGGACGGTTTCATGGAAAGAATATTCAAATGAGAAAATGATAACATTATAGTATACGCAATGAACGGCTGAAACTACTGTTATTTTCACCGGAAGTAAACGGCTGAGCCCCCACCCCCCGGTCCAAAAAAAAAAAAAAAAAAAAAAGGCCGATTTAGATGATCCCCTCATCAGGCCGGGATTCCTAATGGAAAATTTTTTTACTCAATTACCAGTTACAAGGGTTTCCCATTTACTCTCTTCTTTTTTTTTTTTGTGGTCTTATTCTTGATTTTGGTTTTATCTGAAAAATAAACAATTTCAAATCAGACAAGAAAAATCAAGTAACCTGTCATAAATCACACAATCTAGAATTCCTTTCAACACACGCAATCCGGATTGCATTGCCGTAGAAAATAAAAGAACAGTTTGTTTGGATAGTAATAATAATTCGCTTGTATCATAAACACATTTTCTAATCAATCTTTTTATGTTGTCAATCATTTTTTTATCTCACATACATCACATCACATCACATCACAAAAAATATTACAGTAATTATTTCAAATAATACTCTGAAAATTTTTGTTGTATCAATTTGAAGCCATGCACGTACGTTAACCTTGACAGCCCTTATCCAAACTCCCCGCCCCCCCGTTCTATCTCCTCTCTAGGTGCTTGGTTATTAAACAGCCACCTTGTTGGTGATATTTAAAAGTAGTGTTTGCACAAAGCGCAAAACCTCACGTGTTAGGGAATCTTGAACGTCAAATCATAATTAATTGGGGACTAAATATGGAATCTTTTGATTGTTGATAAATGAACCAGAGAGCGGGGGTGGAGGGCGACGCTCAAAGAGCACCACAGTCTCAGTCTTGATCGATCGTTCTTGTTTTCTCCCAGCAATAATTGAACGTTATCTTGATATCATTGAAAGGTGAGGCGCGGCAAATTTGGATTTTGGCGAACAAATTGGAGTGGAATTTCTGCGTCAATTGATGTAACAATTCGCAAGCCATTGAGCCAGATTAATTGTTTGGGTTGGTCTGTATCAGACCTTTGTCGGGTTGAAGACAGGCATTTGAATATTTGGTGCGCTCTCACAAATTAGATCCCAAACTTAGATTAGATTGTGTTTGGATTACATTTTTCATAAAAAAAATATTATAGCGATTTGATATATATATAAAAAAATAATAATAAAAAAAATGTGACCAGGAAAAATAATGTAATTTTTTTTTTACGGAAACTCCGATCCAAGGAAGGCCTTACCGCTGTTGGTCTTGTTTGAAGATAAAAATTGAGGATGATTGCGGATTTGCCTTCACGTAACTAACGATGACGCACGCTGGGGCTGTCAATTCAATCTTATCTACCACAAGAATTTGGTTACTTACAGACAGATCAGAGAGTGCTTGGGTTGAGCTGATCCAATCTTCTTACCAGCGTCGCTTTTTTCTCTCTCTCTCTCTATCTCTCTAGTCTGTATATAATATAAATATATATGTTTCTCTCTCTCTCTCTCTCTCTATATATATACAGTATTTGTATGTATATATATACACTCCACAAGCCACTGCCCCTTCGTTTCCGTCCCTTGCCTACTACGCCCACCAGACCACACCTCACCTGTCAGGCTGTCACAACTCACAAATACACAATCCACCACCCCCATATCGCATCTATTCTTTCATTTATTTTAAAGTATTACCACTATATCTCTTCACCCTTCCGTTTCCTCCATTTCTTGGGAGCTTCCTTATCCATTTCCTCTTCTTTTGCGCGTACTCCCACCGCCTACTCTCGCAGCTGCCCCCTCAGGCTGACTTCCCTCACATTTCCATTTCCCAGGTAATTTTTTATATTCCCCATTTTTTTTTTGTTTTTTTTCCTTCCTATTTATCAGTTCCATCTGATTTTTTGTTTTGCTCTTCCGTCGCCATGCGGATGATTTCGGTACCACTACTGCCATATGAATCTTCTGTCTAAATTTCAGGAAGAGTAGATTTTATTTATGTCAATAATGCCTTGTCTCGGGAACCTGTCCTGCTCTTAGTCTTTAGCTAATTTCATTTGGGATTTTTTTTTTAATATTTATAGATCTGTTCTTTTTTTTTAATTTTCTTTTTAATGAAATTCGAGCTGTTTATACTTTATAGTTTGACCTGAGCTACTTTTGTTGAGCATCTGAAATTACGCTTTTCCTCAAATTTGGATTTTTTTGTGGGTGAATTCCAATTACAGTGAGCTCGTTTGAGCTGTTTCTGGTGTCTTATGAATCTTGAGCTTGCTCGGCATTGTATTTGTTGATATTTGTATTGAGCTTCTCGATTTATATAGTATGTGAATTATGAGAGGATGCTATTTTAATCCTTGAAGATCGCTTTTGTTTCACAATCTAGTTAATTGACAGCATGCAATTGCTTTGATAGTTTGTTGGTGAAGTTTCTAGTTGCTTTCGGTAGCTGGGGTTGTTAGATCTGAATCGCTGTACTAGTTTTCATTGTCATGTCGTTTAGAGTGCTACAAATGTTAGTATATTCTCTGTGCAAGATGGAGATATTCTTTTACCATTTTTTCCCCGTTTATTCATGATCTGGTGGTGGAGTTGCGGTAGATTGGTGACACTGGTGGTATATGTTTGGAAGTTTGATTAGTAGCTGTTGCTTCTTGGTGTGTCTAGTTTGACTAGTAATCATCATAGTAATAATTGGGCACCACTTAAATTGTTACTATTTCTTTTTGGGTCATAGACTTTAATGGATCATTTGGCTTTCCTTGGGTGTTGTTGAAGGTTCAAGTGGGTAATTATCAGTTTGTCGTGTGTTTCTGTTGGGAAAATAAAGTTTCAATTATGAAAGAGTCCATCGTATTACTTGCTACACTTTTGACCTTCTGGTGCATTTCACAATAGTTTCTTTACTCATGTAGTCATGTCGGTATGCTACACTGCAGATAAAACATTAGCCAAAAGCAAAATGGAAGTTACAGGAGGCTAACTTTATGCGCTTCTATGGCCTTGGCAGGTACCTTTTTTTTTCTTTTCTTTATCTATCTATAAGGCCCTAACCAACTCCTGCTCTTATCAATCTCGATTCTTTTTTTTTTTTATTTAAATATTCATGTTTTTCTTATTTACTTATTTTTCTTTTCAATTTCGATCTTCCCTGTGTATAACTTGTATCATCCCATGTAGGTATCTGGGCAATGTGTGGGAAGAGTAACAGTTCAGGAGGCAGCAGCTTAGATAGTACAATCAAGAAAAAGGACATTAGTACCCAAAGAGGTGGAATGGAATTTGAGTCCGATTGGACAAAGCATTGTTGGAAATCATCAGCCTTCACTGCTCAAGCCATCCGTTCAGCAACATCTTTTATGCCTTGGTCTTGTAAAATATCAAGAAATGAAGGATTTCACGAATATCTTTAATCGGTAGCTGATTTTTCTGTTAAGTTGATCTTTGTAGTTGAGAGACATAGAAGGAATTCATGATGCTTCTGTCCACTTCCTGTTTGAGAATTTCTTATTCCAAAAATGCCTAATTTTGTTAGTGGAAAGAAGAGAGCTACCGAGTTGAACATGTGTTTCTCCAACGCTCTCGAGCAGGGTGCTCCACCTCACTCAAAAGGGGGTTCCTGCTTAACTCTAAAGTTCGTTGATGGTATCCATAGTCCTATCTTGCCTGGATTGCCCGATGATGTGGCAATGTACTGTCTTGCACTTGTTCCTCGAACTAATTTTCCTGCTATGGGTGTTGTTTGCAAAAGATGGAGGTCTTTTATCCAAAGTAAGGAATTTATCCGGGTTAGAAAACTAGTTGGCATGCTCGAGGAGTGGCTTTATGTCCTAACTGTTGACTCTCAAGGAAATGGGAGCCACTGGAGGTTATAGACTGTTTGGGACAGAAACACAATGAATTCCCCCAATGCCTGGTTGTGAGAAAGTTGGTTTTGGCGTGGTAGTTCTCAATGGAAAGCTTCTCGTAATTGCTGGTTATGCCATGATTGATGGAAATAGATCGCCCTCTGCTGATGTTTATCAGTATGATTCTTGCCTCAACAGGTTTGTTTTCTTTTACCTCATATTCCTGTTTCATTCTTTGCTTGTCACTGCATTCCTGCTTTTTGTAATGCTCAAGTACTCTGAACTTTCAGGGTCTTTTTAATGGAACATTTGAATTACGACTTTGTAAACACTTGCAAAATTAGGAGGTTTTATTTTTATGCTAGAATTTCTCGGTTGCGGTATCTTCAGCTAGTAGACAGCTTGATTAGTTTCATAACCAAAATGTCTTTTAACCCCAATGACTAATCTAGATTGTGATACTTCTGTGCAGCTGGAGTAAGCTAGCGGACATGAATGTTGCACGCTATGATTTTGCTTGTGCTGAGGTAAATGGCATGGTCTATGCGGTTGGCGGCTATGGGATGGATGGTGAATCTCTCTCATGTGCTGAAGTGTATGACCCTGATGCTGACAAGTGGACTGTAATTGAGAGTCTTCGCCGACCACGGTGGGGATGCTTTGCTTGCGGATTTGAAGGAAAGCTCTATGTAATGGGAGGTCGATCGAGTTTCACAATTGGAAATTCAAGGTTTGTCGATGTGTATAACACTGAGAGGCACACCTGGTGTGAGATGAAAAATGGTTGTGTCATGGTCACCGCTCATGCTGTGGTGGGGAAGAAACTTTTTTGTATGAGTGGAAAAACCAGCGGAAGCTGGCTATATTTGACTCAGAGGATAATTCATGGAAGATGGTGCCAGTTCCAGTAACTGGGAGCTCAAGCATCCGATTCCAGTTTGGCATACTGGATGGAAAACTTCTTTTATTTTCACTGCAGGAGGATCCCGGTTACACTACCCTTCTGTATGATCCAAACGCACCCCCTGGCTCAGAGTGGCAGACCTCAGTGATAAAGCCATCCGGTTCGTGCATGTGCAGCGTCACAATCAAGGCATAAAGTGGTCGATTTCATTAAAGATGATGATGATTTCAGTGGCGTTCTTAAAGAGTCTTCCCCCCGGTTTCCGTGCGGGGTTCCGTTGTTCGTTTAAGAAGCAGTTATGCATATGATCTATTGTATAGTTTTAGTAAGTTGGTTGATTTAAGACTAGTGTGATTATGTCATCTTGTATGAGTAATTTGCTTGCGAAGCTTTACTGACATAAATCTTGAGCAGCAGTTGTTGTATCTCAAATGTTAGTGGCGTCTGTGATGGACTGGGATGCAGTAATATTCCAGCAAGTATATGTGGGCAAAATTCCAATGGACGATCATGTCCGTGGGCTGTGGAGTTTGTTGCCAGTACTGCGGTAGATGAATTAAACACGTGAAATGTGGCACGACAACGTGAAAGAACTTTGCATGTTTGATATGCATTGCTAGCGAAAGAGAATGTACGTTAAAAGCTTTTCACGGTTTGAACGGGTGCTTCCAGTTGCCATTTGAATGAAAAATGATCTCGTTGTCACCTAATCATCAACAACGCAACGGGTGTCTGTGGCAATAGCGCTAGGTTAACTAATACCGAAATCTCTGAATCTGAACGTCTAAATCACCCATATGCTCAATTTGTCCCCAGGAGAGGAGAGCCGAAGAAGACGCAGGAAAGGACGTCGAAAGTCTTTACTTAACGTGCTTGCTTTGTACGAGGCTACGGAGTGCAGTTTTGCAATTTTACTTGCTATTAGTAACTGCAAAGTCACCAACTTGGTTCTCAATCGTCTCTGTTTTTTCACTTGGGATCCTCGGTGACATGTTTTCTGTGCCAATTCAATGCACCTATAGTATTGCGCAAGTGTCCTGTTATTATTTACACTTTAATTTTCTAATAATTCAACTTGGTTTGGTTTAACACAAGTGTAAATAATAACAGGACACTTGACGCAATATTATAGGTGGCATTAGATTGGCACAGAAAACATGTCACCGATTATCCCAATTGCTGTTTTTAACCAGCTGTAAAAAATTTGAGGAGTGCGTTCAAGAATCACTCTCGTACACATTTTGAAGGGGAAGATAATCAATTTGTTCTTTTTAACTATTTCTTTAATTCATTAATCTGCATGAATACCTGACCATATTTATTGAATAACACATCAGTTAAATTATCTAAGACTCCTTTTGAATTGGCCTATTTTTTAAAAATAAATTCTTCATATATAATATTACAGTAATGCACAAATGAAAACAATACTTAAAACACATCATCCATACAATTTATTAAGAACCTGACCGTGTATTTTGAGTGGTTCTCGAGCCTAATTTGATCTCAATTCGAGCATATATTTTTAGTTTGGATAAATATGCCATACACACCAACAGCACCCACCAGTCAAATTACGCATTAAATTTAAGTCCTACTTTGATTATATTATATATGTGAGATATACTCTTTGAGTGGCTCGAGCAACTGCTGTTTTTTACTCTTTGGCTTTTGGTTTGGTTTGGGATTATTTACCAATTAGCAAACCCAACGAGGACTTTAATCGCGTGTTAATTAGCGTAAAATATCAAGCGTTTCATCAAAGAAAATACTCCCCCCAAAAACCCAAAAAAAGCGGCAACAACTTGAAAGTTAAAACCTCCACCCACCACCTCCCCCAAGGGTTCCGCCGTCCCAAAGCCCTCCGCTTCTCCCAGCACCGCATCAACCACCGGAAATGTTCGGCCACCCATCATCAGCCCCGCCTTCGGGACTCTCCTCAACCCTGCATTCGTACCCCTCTTCGACCCGGGCCTTCGGCACTCCGTCTTCCACCCCTGCCTTCGCCACTCCATCTTCAAGCCAGCCTTCGGAACGCCGTCCACCGTCGTTTGGCACCGGCTTCGGAACCTCACTGTTCTCTACTCGTTCTCGCAGCAGCAATCGCAGCAGAGCTTTTCTTTCAGACGCCAGGCTCAAGCCCTTTCGGTCTCTCGACGCCGTTCGCTGCCACCAAGTGCAGTCTTTCCGTTTGGTCAGCCGCTGTGACTCCGGCATTGCCCTTTGGAAAATGTTCAATTGACCACTCAGATGGCTCAGTTGCTCCTCTCCCTTTTCTCTTGCCGATCGTGATATTCAAGTAAGCCTAACTAGAGAAGTTTTTTTTTTTTTTTTTTTTTTTGGAAAATTCGTAGTGTATTTAGTTTTGCATCTACATATGGCGGTTTTCCTTTAAATTTATGGTTTTGCTATGTGAACTATCTAGGCTATTGTTGATGCTTACAAGGAGGAGCCTGGAACCCTAAGTATGCATTTAAGGTTCGATTTTTCATCATTGACCTTGTCCTTGTCAGATTTTTTTAATTCTGTTTATGCTCGATTCTTGTTTAATTGGTAAAATTCTTGGGTGAAGAAACGTGGATTTTGGGGACATTGACGTTTGAATTGATTTGGCCATTGTAACTTTATTTTGTTAATTATTAATTAGTAATTTAGCAATGATTCTCTGTCCCCTTTGAAGAAGGAGAGATGGTAGGTTAGGTTACGTTGCCTTCGTTTAGCTGAAGTCTGAGAAAGGAAAATATTCATTGCATGAAACACTGAATGTAGTGATAGGCCAACACATAATTGCAATTTGGAACAAATTGGTGGCAAGAATAAGCTGCAGATGAAATGTATTTGTCTCTCATTCTTAGAAAAAAAATGATTAGACAGCGTCTTTTCTTGGTTCCCAAAATTTTCTCCATTCTATGTTTATGAAGTTTTTAAAATATGTGTTTGTGGTTTTGCAGCATTAATTGTTCAGCGTGACTGAACCTCAATATAGGGTGAAACCTGCTGGTGTACCATTCTTGTTTAATTGGTAAAATTCTTGGGTGAAGAAACGTGGATTTTGGGGACATTGACGTTTGAATTGATTTGGCCATTGTAACTTTATTTTGTTAATTATTAATTAGTAATTTAGCAATGATTCTCTGTCCCCTTTGAAGAAGGAGAGATGGTAGGTTAGGTTACGTTGCCTTCGTTTAGCTGAAGTCTGAGAAAGGAAAATATTCATTGCATGAAACACTGAATGTAGTGATAGGCCAACACATAATTGCAATTTGGAACAAATTGGTGGCAAGAATAAGCTGCAGATGAAATGTATTCGTCTCTCATTCTTAGAAAAAAAATGATTAGACAGCGTCTTTTCTTGGTTTTCCCAAAATTTTCTCCATTCTATGTTTATGAAGTTTTTAAAATATGTGTTTGTGGTTTTGCAGCATTTATTGTTCAGCGTGACTGAACCTCAATATAGGGTGAAACCTGCTGGTGTATCAGATGTAAGTTCAATGTGGTTTGAGTTATACTTCTGATTCTGTTGCTTTTATTTACATGTTGAGACTTTGTAGTAAATCTTGTGAATTAGTTTGGCTTGTTAGATAATGTGGGCAGAGGCCATAGGGAAACTTGAAGGCATGGAGAGTTCTGATCGAGAACGACTTTGGCCCCACCTTGTTCAGGGATTTAAAGATCTGTCACAGCGCCTCAAGGTACCAGATGGATGATCATTACCTCCTTGAAATGAGGATGGCTTCAGTGCTTGGAAAAAATTTTTTGTTGAAGCCTTCCTAACTCACATTTGTTTCATTTCGATGTGCCAAAACTGCATTCTTTGAAGAATTTTTTTTAAATATTAAATTTCTGTGTATCCAATCTCTATAATTAGATTCGCTAGATGGCATAAGTAGTGCCTCTTTCTCATGTTAAATAATGTGTGTTTGGATAGAGTATCATTTGAAATATTATTTGGAATAATTATTATAGCACTTATTATAATGTGATGTATGTGAGATAAAAAGGTATTTGAAAATATAAAAAGGTGGGTTGGAAAATGTGGTTATGATGCAAGCAAAATATTATGTGGAAAAATTTAGCTATCCAAACACTATTATATTGTTTCTTGGCGGGCAATAAAGCGAGCAATCTATCAGTATCTTCACCAAGAATTTATTTTGTTAATCCTCTTTTCATACCTTTATGGTAATTAAATGTTAGTCTTTGGGATACCTTGCAATCGTGTTCTTTCTTTTCTCTATCAACATTATCTGATTGTAGCTTGGGATACCTGAATTTATTTTCTTTTTTGAATTGTGTTTCTTTAACTTTGGATAAGCTACAAGATGAAGTTATAGTCTCAGATTCTGAGAGATTGCGAATAACACAGAGCAATGTAAAAATGGTACTCTCTTGTTCTCTTGGTTTGATATACCAAACTTGTGGTTAGTGTACTAGGTTTGTTAACCTGCCTTTATGCAGCTTCAAAGGCATTTCCAAGCAGACACTTTTCCTTGGATTCGGAGGATGCAACAAAAGGAGCAGAGTCTCCAGAGGCGCCTCTTAAGGGTGAGATGTCTGGCATTATACTTCATTTTTATCATATTGTCCAAGATGCTAGTGTTTTGATCTGATAGTTAAGCATTTTCTGCTGCAATACAAGTAGTAATATAAATGATTAGGAGATTTAATTTTGTTATAATCCTGTAATATTCACTCATGTCTCTTTGTTTTAGAAGAAACAATTAAGGAATACCATCTAGATGAAGTTTTAGACCCCAAAGTACCCATGTCGACATGCCATGACACTGGTGCTGGTATGGGATATGTGTCCAATGAAAAATTTTTGGACACTTTTGACTTTTGTGAGGTCTGATGTCGAAGCAAGAGGAGAAGAACTGGGTGAGAAAACTCATAGATGCAGAAGACTTGTTGCATTGGAGTCCTACTGGAATCCTTTTGAGCTATGGCTTGTTGGTTACTTTAGAATTCTCCAATCCTTAGTGAGCTACGACTTGTATGTTGGCTGTACTGTATAATTCTTATTTTTACTTGAAATTTTGCTGTACCCACGTTCTCTTGTCTGAGTCTTTAGAAGTGTCCCTGTATCCTAATTTTAGAAGGTTGACGAATCAGACACTTAGACACATACTCGAATCCGACACCTATACCCGAGTCCGAGTAACATAGGAAAACAGAATGTTCAATACACTAGCTATGTACACTGGACTTTGCTATGCAACAGATAAAGAATATAGTCTCATATGATACACAGGTAATGCGAATTATAGAGGCATTGGAAGGCAAAGGGTGTCGATCACCTTTGATGAAGGGAGAAGCTGAATTGGCGGAGAAGTTGGCTTCATTAACTCGACAGGTACTTGATCCAGGTCTTTTGATCTGTGTAAGATTTTTATGATGTGGCTTGTAATGGAGCTTGTATTTACTAGTAAATTCTGACAGTTAAAAGGATCAGGAGCAGAACTTTCTAGAAGGGTTCAAAATCTACTGACTCTATCTCGTGTTCAAGCCAATGGCCTTGGTGGTAGATCTATGTATATACCTGGATCAACTAAAATACATGAGCAAAGTCTTTTGGACATGCAGGAGGTATTGTCAAATCTCATTT